AAAGGCTTTTTAGTCAAGACAGCCGTCTTCTTATTCCTTTTATAACATCTTCATGTCAGCTTTTTAAAAATCAGTCCTAAGTAAGAAGAACAATTTAATGAAATATTGCAAACCACTGTAGTACAGAAAAAGAACAGATTAAGCAAGAACAATCTCTGAAAAACATCTCTTTCAAAGGAGTTTAGAACAGCATCTTTAAAATTACTACTGTTCAGAAATAAAACGTCCTTCCTCTCTTTTTCATTGAGCTTCGGTTTGTTAAGACTGTTCAGCTGAGTCTACTGTTACTGCATGCTATTAGTTTTATAGAAATACAGTTGCACAACCACAGACCAACCTTACCACTCAGTAAACCATCATTTAGATACATTAAACTGTTAATAATTCTTTATAAATATGATATTATTACCCCCGACAAGGTCACAAAGACCACTCAAAGTGTTCTGGAATGAGGAGAAACTGCACAAGTCTCTATCTAAGCAGTATGCATGTATATTTAGCCTAACACCTGATCATAAAGACCACTGAAATGTGTCAAATACATCATACATCTAAGAGAAAGAGTTGTAGCGCTAATTTAAAATCAGATTCTCCTACAATCTCGAAATGAACACAAACAGTGGGGGAGATGGGAAGTGAAATGCATGTCACTTCGGATATCCTACATAGAAAAAAAAACCCTGAAACCTCTTCTCAGGAGGATATGAGTGTAACTTGCTGAAGAGAAGGAGGACATTAACTCTTTTTCTTTGCAGTTACTGCCAGCATTTACAAAAGCATGCTGCAACTTTATATTCATAATGTCACATTCATAGCTGATTGAAACAATCTGAGAAACTCAAAATTTTCCATCAATATCATATTTAATAAAGTTTTAATTTAAAAATGTATTAAGTTGCCCAAAGAGAAAATATTTTTGTTTTTGTCAACGTTTAACTTGAACATTTAACAGAAATGAAGACAAACCTGTCGATACAGAACGTAAACTGAGTGTAAACGTACTTCACTGCGTAACTGACTATGTATTTCAGGTCCAGTCCAGCAACCAGTCCAGCCATTACCTTCCCACCCTCAGCACTGCACCAGTACGGCCCACTTACATCAATATAAGTGATGAAAGAGGGTTCACGAGTTTCACATAGAACATCTATAGTTTTTTCCCTTTCTTTAAGCCTATAATAGTATTACTTAGTTAAAATAGTAGAGAAGGGTCTGGCTGCAGACATCCACTCTCAGCCTGACATGCGCCGCCAGCCTATTGATGACGTCAGTGCCGCTCTGCCACCACAGTGTTTTTATTGGTTTTATGAGGAAGAACAGTGAACCACAAACAACAACAAGAGTTACACTGAATGTATCTTAACGCTGCCATACCGATAATAAGGTAATTAAATATGGAAACTCTTATGATAAGACATGAATGTTGGGTTTATTCGCAGAAAAACACAAACAGTCTACTGAAACTCACGTAAGCCAAGCTGAAGACGATCAGAACCCGTTATCAAAAACTGTAATATTGATTAAATTAGAACTCATTAAGGATTCTAGGAGGTTGTGACAACATACAGTCAACACGGTACTTTCGCTGTCTCATCAACGTTTTCACAACCTCCTAGAAGGTTGTCAGACACTGTCATAACTTTCTGAGGAATTACATTTCAACGTTGTGACAATGTAGAGAGCATCAAGCAGAAGACACTGTGGGCACCGAAACAGTACGTTGTCACAACATAACTGTGTTTGCAGGGCTGTTAGGAATAAAACCTGATGGTTTTGCTTCCTAGCGGGAACTGGCTTGATGGTTGCAGTTAGAGGCCATTAGGAAACGATCAACAGTATCAAAAGCTGCACTAAGATCTACCACTACTCTGTATGGACAAAACCTACAATTGATATGCTAACACTGTACTAAAATGCTTGGTCCGAAAGCCACGCTGCAATACCGGTGCTCACACTGCACATGCAGCCACTACAGACAGCTCTGTCTATGGACAAATTACAATAATGCTCTTTTATTCAAAACAGCACGCTGCACGTCTAAGTACGGAGCAGAAATGCTGAGAAACTGTGCTACAGCAGCTTGATGCATCCAAGTCAAGTCAGGTCAAGTCAAGTCAAATTTATTTATATAGCGCCTTTTACAACAGATGTTGTCACAAAGCAGCTTTACAGAGAATCCGGGTCCACGCCCCCAGTGAGCAAGCCTCGGCGACAGTGGCACGGAAAAACTCCCTCAACAGGAGGAAGAAACCTTGAGAGGAACCAGATTCAAAAGGGGAACCCGTCCTCCTCTGGTCGACACCGGATAACAGCACAGACACAAAACAGTATAAGTGGATACAGTTTAACACCACTGTGCAGAGCGCCGGCCGCATCAGTCACGTCAAACCCTCTTAGGACAGGCAGCCGCTCAGCTCAGGGAAAAAGAGGGGGAGGGGGGAAGAGGGGGGGGTAGGGGGGAGGGGGGACAGATAGTTAGGAAAACAAATTAACAGACTTAAAGATACAGGCTGTGTCTGAGTCCCGAACACAGACTGGTGGGCTCTTCCAAAGCTGGGGGGGCTTTGTATGAAAAGGCTCCTCTCCCCGACGTAACTTTATTTATTCTGGGTACTAATAATGAGCAGCACCTTGTGATCTAAGTGGGCGTGTCGGTTGATAGTAGGAAATAAGGTCACTGAGGTACTGAGGATCAAGGCCATTCAGAGCTTTATACGTCAGCAGAAGAATTTTGTACTCAATGCGGAATTTAACTGGCAACCAACGTAAGGTACACAAAATTGGGCTAATGTGGTCAAATTTCCTGGTTCTGCTGAGAACTCTGGCTGCAGAGTTCTGGACTAACTGAAGCTTGTTAAGGTTTTGGCTGGAACAACCAGAAAGCAGAGCGTTACAGTAATCTAACCTGGACGTGATAAAGGTGTGAACTAATGTTTCCGCATCCTGTAGCGACAGTGCATCCCTAATAAATAGTATAGCAAAATGAAAATAATAATACTGAGCCTGGACTCCTAAGACCTTCAGAGAAGGCTGCTTCTTTCTGAGAGGAAGCAAGAAGGGAGTGCTCAAAAAACCTTCACTAAATTTAGCAATCAAGAAGTGAAACTCCACGAGAGGCATGACTCTAGAAAGAGACTGCTGAAGAAAGAGGAGGACGGCATGCATGTCTTCACATAGTTAACGAAAAACCCACAAGAATAGACAAAGAACTCAGTAAATGGGAGGATGTACAGAGCCATACACACACAGCCTGCACCACACCTGTGCACCCACTGAAAATCAAATAGTTAGAATGACATGGGAAACAGTGATTCAAGGCCATAGGGTTGTATGTAAACACAGGTGAACTCTGGGTATTTGTGTATCTCCTAAAAGTGCTGGAGCTCAAGGATAATGGACAGGGCTGTACAGTGTATCGCTTGCTTTTCCATTCTCATGATATTGACCTCTACATTGATTTAGAGAAAACTGTGATATGCAAATGAGCCCTATAATTAATCATAATGCTCACTGTGTGCTATGAGCATGCTGACCAGTATGATGAGTCTTTCTGTGAGTGTTTTGATTATTGTAATATGACAAGTAAATTTTATTGGTGTAAACAAAGCAGACAAACCATAGCCATGTTACTATTACTAATTACTATTAATTCACAAGTACAACAACTGCAAACAGGTCTGCATTGCTATATTGCAATATATAGCAATAAATTCACAATACTAGTACTTTGTCTGTATCATGCAGCCTGTGGTCCCCAGGGGTTGGAGTACAATGACAAGTGTTCCCAAGCACAAACAACCCTCAAAACAGTTACACCATTGTCTTTTATCATTGCGTCATTTTATTCCAATGCAGAACAGCAGGGCTGTGCTGTCAGGGATAATGACGTTTACCCCTCAGTACAAACGAGGCAAAAGAAAACCTTTTTTCCGCAAATAAAAATGCTTGTTGACGCAGATAGATGGGATATTGCCAGAGGTGTGACAGTATGATGGAGTGCCATTTTGCCGCTGACACTGATTCACCCTCTATCAGAGACCTTGATGCATTTCAGCTCCAGTCCAGCAACCAGTCCACTGCACCAGTACAGCCCACATGCATCAATATAATTGATGAAAGAAGGTTCACAAAGAATGTCTGAAGTTTTTTCCTCTTTTTTTTAAGCCTATAAGCAGCAAGCAAGCATCTACAAGACTTCCAACGGAAGGGTTTTTTCCTAGGATTCATAAAACCAAGAGTTCAAATATAAATTAAGACAGAACAGATGGGTGTAGGTTATGTTTAAAAACATAACTTTTGTTACAAAATAAACATATCTGAATTACTTCAGGGCTACCTATTAAGGTGTTGACTGGACTGCACTGCAGTCATGAACTGCAGACGATACACTAAAGTAGGAAAAGTGGTGAAGTTGGTTACCTAAATCAAACGTGCACATCATTTCCACATGAATCAATCAAAACACTTCTTTCTTTCACTTCATTTACTTTTGGCAATAATGATGACGATATACACCGATCAGGCATAACATTATGAGCACCTCCTTGTAGCACTGCTGTGTCTGATCCACTTGTACCAGCACAACACACACTACCACACCACCACCACGTCAGTGTTACTGCAGTGCTGAGAATGATCCACCACCCAAATAGTACCTGCTCTGTGAGGGTCCATGGGGGTCCTGACCACTGAAGAACAGGGTAAAAGGGGGCTAACAAAGTATCAGAGAAACAGATGGACTACAGTCTGTAACTGTAGAACTACAAAGTGCACCTATATAGTAAGTGGAGCTGATAAAATGGACAGTGAGCGTAGAAACAAGGAGGTGGTCATAATGTTATGCCTGATCGGTGTATTTTATTCACATGAAAATAATTTTAACCAAGTATATTCCATGTATTATGTTTTCAAAGTAGATGATTTTGCAGCAAAACCAAACAAACAATAAAACACACCATAGTTATAAATTATCAGGGACAATAGGGGGCATGGACCCTTACCTTGCTGTGAAGATGAGCACTGCTCTCTCTAAGTGACGAGAGGTGGCATTCCATACCGTTTGGACCTCTTGAAATGCGATGGTTCTGACACACAGCTCCAACCCCAGCCGGCTTTGGGTTACGAGCAGCCTGTCAAACACAAGCACAGCAGTGAGCTGGAGCAGAAATCTGCCAAGCATCCAACCCAGGTCACTCTCTGCTGACACACCGCACAAAGTGGACTCTGTCGAGCGTGGCAGTGAGCATCCTGTGTACCCGCCAGTCTGCGTACCTGTCAGGCGCTCTGAAAGAAAACCGAAGAAAGGATGCTCATACTCTTAACTTTCTGGTTCCTCCCTAACGAGCCTATGTGTAACCTCCTGCATCCCTGTGGTTGTTTTCCCGCTGGGTGCTGTTGTGCTCTAATGTGGACTATAGTGCAGTGCCCCACTGGAACATAGACGTCACCCACACTGCTGGAGGCGGGAAGGAACACCCTCATCGAAAAAGATCACCTTTGTTCCCTCTTTCACTAAAGCCAATTCAGAGAGTGATGTAAGCCTGCTATTTGTGTGGCATGGGTGCGTGGAAGGTCTTAGAGGGTGGGGGGTGGGGTTCAAAACAAGCTTTTTTCTTTTGAGCACCCTTTAAGTCTCCCTCACCCGGCCCCGGGCACCCCTTACCCTCTGCACAATGGCCGCCTGTCTCCCCAGCTCCCTCTCGGCTTGTGAGGAATGTCCGGCTGGGTTCAGGCCCAGTCTGCGCATCCTCACGCTGCCACTCACGCTTTCAGAGCACCACAACAAACGACAACATGCCCAGAGACACGGACACATAGCAGGCGTCTCAGTCCTTCAGCATCATCCCACGCTCTCTATAGGCGTACAGTACTCCACATCAATGCTAAGCAGCAGAGCTAGCGGGTGGTCTTCCCCAGTATCCACTTACAGAGACACCACTGCAGAGGTAGGCATGAAGACATATGGATTTATGAGTGGTTTTGATGCTGTAAAAGGCAACTGTGGCATGAAAATACCACAAGACCAAATGGAAGTGCTTACTGTAAACGCCCCATCTAGTCAAAATGAACAATGACATTTGATAATGCCATCTTACTCAGAGGCCAACTCAGAGGCCTTTTCTTTATGTTTAAAATATGTCATTTTCAGGAATAAACATGTTATTACAGACTAATAGAATGAGAAACTAGATCTTAAATTAGCAAGAGCTAATTATCTTTGGTGGAGACAACACTGAATCCTGTGGGTGTGTCTCTTGTCTGGGCAGCATGCCATACATATACATATTCACTAAAAGGAAAAGAGTTTGTGTGTGTGTCTGTGTGTGTATACACTATTCACACACACACACACACACACACACACACACAAACACACACATTTAATTTTAGTCAGTATGTTCAGACCCAAATTTTTTTTATGTAGCTTACTGAGCAAAAAGTCTTTGGTTCAACAACCTACAACTCTAAGACTCTGTGCAGGGTTAGGTTGCCAGATTGGCAGCACACAGACCACATTAGCTTTTTCCCTGAGCAGAAATAGCAGAGTTTTCAGCTGCAGGCCAGATGGCATAGGCTGCCAACCAAATTAACAAAAAGCATTTTTATTATGGAAAAATAACAACAGGTTTTCTCTAAAACAATTATCCCTAATTAATACAAACCCAGATTAATTGGAGGGAGTGGGGCCATGCATGGCAACACATTCCATGGCCCATATGCTGGCTGCATATAAATGCTGAACTGGTGTCTGGAAATATATTTATGTGTTTCTGTCGGCACCAATAAGTCATGCAGGATGCCCGCTATAAAAAACGCTACCTAGCTTTATATTAAAGACCTGTGAAAGATTCAGTCCTTATTACTATAACCTGGGTACACAGATCAGGCATAACATTCTGACCACCTCCTTGTTTCTACGCTCATTGTCCATTTTATCAGCTCCACTTACTATATAGGTGCACTTTGTAGTTCTACAGTTACAGACTGTAGTCCATCTGTTTCTCTGATACTTTGTTAGCACCCTTTTACCCTGTTCTTCAGTGGTCAGGACCCCCATGGACCCTCACAGAGCAGGTACTATTTGGGTGGTGGATCATTCTCAGCACTGCAGTAACACTGACGTGGTGGAGGTGTGTTAGTGTGTGTTGTGCTGGTACGAGTAGATCAGTCACAGCAGTGCTGCTGGAGTTTTTAAACACTGTGTCCACTCACTGTCCACTCTGTTAGACACTCCTACCTTGTCAGTCCACCTTGTAGATGTAAAGTCAGAGACGATATCTGCTGCTACACAGTTTGTGTTGGTCATCCTCTAGTCCTTCATCAGTAGTCACAGGACGCTGCCCACAGGACACTGTTGGCTGGATATTTTTGGTTGGTGGACTATTCTCAGTCCAGCAGTGACACTGAGGTGTTTAAAAACTCCAGCAGCACTGCTGTGTCTGATCCACTCAGACCAGCGCAACACACACTAACACACCACCATCACGTCAGTGTTGCACACTCAGCACTGATGGCTTCAAACAGTTAAAAACACTGCCAAGCCCGTTTGTGTTTAATGTGTGACCAAGTATTTTCTATAGGGTTCAAATCTGGACTTTGAGCAGGTCAAAATCATTAGTGAGATCATTAGTATTTTTGCATGGGAGTGTTTGCAAAAATTTGGGCATTCCAGGTTAAAATACATGCTTTGTTGATTTTCTAAGTGAGAATAAATTAACATATTCTCTCTACAGGAAAAATCCGCACATTTGAATATATGAATAGTGTTTATTTACTGAATTTAACATGTATGGGAAAACGTTATTTCACATTGTAGATTTGTCCACTAAATTAAACTCTGTATAATCTGCACTTAAATACATTGAAAGTAAATATATTCCTGAAACTGTAAAAATTTCTTAACTGATTTTTACTTAGAAGATCAACAAAACACGGAATTTGACAATTTGACCAGGGGTGTTCAAAACTTACTACTGTATTTTCTGGTAAAACTATTAAGGAAAAAAAATCGATTCCACTCTGTGATCTTCTTAGACTTCAGCACATTCTGGAATTTTTTACAGTACAGTGTAAGCAGCCACAGACATGTAGGTCTAAAGAAGGTTGAACAGGCTCATACTGAAACCTGTATTTTGTGTTTTTTGGAAGTTGTTTAGTGATTGATTAATTTACTCACTTGATTGTTAGTTGCAGTATTCGATAAAAAACTTTGATTAAGTAGCACATTTTTTGTGTTGTGGGCCATTTTGCAAAGAAAGTGTGTTATTTTGGCCAACAAGCCTGTTTAGACCCATGTGTCAGATGTGAGAATATGACTTCTGAATGGACAAAAGTGTTCGAGAAAAACGGTAAAAGCAAATGGCCGAGAACCTTTTAGCCACGATACTGCGAATGCTGCTTAAGAGCTTGATTTGTGTGTGGCTTTTAAAAAGGTTTGCCATCAGTGCAAACCCATGAATCATACTCCTCTTACCACGTTTCACATTCCTCAGTCCGGCTAAAGGACTTCCAGCTTGTCATTGGAGGTTATGCGATCTAAACCCACAAGAACAAATGAGTCATTTTGAGGGTCTGCATGGAGTGTCATGGCAGGGATCCGCCCGTCATTTTGGATGCTACTTCAAAATCGTATGGCCAGGGAACACATTAGTCATGCTGTTAATTAGATTACGTGACTAAATCCATTAATCCACACACATTGTACACGGTACCGTGCACAGCATCTGAGAAAATGGCTCATTTGTTTTTTTGTGAGTAGTTAAAATTAAAGCATACTTTCAAAATTGAAAATCTAAAGTGGTTATTCAGTTTATGATTCTGACTGGTTTATGTGGTTTTGAGGCGTGTATGTAAAGTTATTCTCCCGGTCATGTACTGCATGATAATGAGCTTTATGTCTGTCATCCTAGTAAATTTCTACAACATTGTGGGGAATGTTTAGAAACTGCAAAGCCTGATAAACACCACTCACATGGTCATTGGGACTGTAGGTGGGGAAGTTTCTGTCTGAATCAGAGGAGGGCATGTCCCAGAGTTCTGCTGAGGTATGGCAGGGCTTGTCCCGAACAAAGGACCTAGAGAGTGATGCTTCCTGGATGTGCAGGCTAAGTTGATCAAACTTCCTAATCAGCATAGTTACAGACTCTCTAGACTGGACCTGAAACAAAGAGAAGAAAAAGAATGGGGGTTACAGTCACCAGCCACTATGAGAAACACCCTGTATAGTGTGGGACCTATAGTTCGAGATTGCTGCCCGTATCTGTCATACACAATTTGCGTTAGCCATTCTCTAGCCCTTCATCAGCAGACAGATTCTGACCACACAGCCACTCTTGGATGGATATTTTTGGGTGGCGGTCCACTCTCAAACTAGCAGTGACACAGACGTGTAAAACCCCAGCAAAACCACTGTGCCTGATATTCATGCCACATATACCACCATCCTACTACCGTGTCAAGGTCACTGCTTTGTTGAGACAAATAATGTCTTTTTATCAGCTGTCAGCTGTCCTGTGGTCAGAAACTGACAACTGATTAACAGGGTAGGGGGTTGTTGACAAGCTGCATGTCAACAGATGAGCCTATATAGTGAACCTAATCATGTGAACAAATGTAAATACAGCTTAAGTGTTTAACCTCTTCAACTCCTTGAGACCACTGGTGGTTCCAAAATGCACTTCATCATATTCTTCATAACTTTCATATTTCATAAGCCACATTCTAAAGGTGGGGGTCGTATGAGAGCTGTAACTGTCTTCTCTCCAGTCAAATAGATGGGTGATGTAATTTTAAACCCTTATAATAAAAGAAGCTGAACTCACAATTTTTTTTTTCTACTGAAAGTCAACCCATTTTTCCACAAATCTGGGCTATAAACTATAAACAGATGGCGTCTCTTCAGTGATCTGCTCTGTAAAAAATGTTTTTATAAAATAATATAAAGAGCGTCTCAGATTTTTGGCTTTCAGCAGTAAATTGTAAGCATATAGCAATATGTGTAGCATAAAACACATGTTCTGTTAATTTGAGGGAAACCTTCACAAAAAAAAATAAATAAAAATAAATAAATTTAAAAAAAAATTATATTTATTTCATGCAGTTACTGAATAATTTGCCTTACGATTTGGTCATGTAAATTCAGATGGACAACCAAAATATACCCTGGAGAATAAGAGGATAAATAGGGAGTGAATACAGTAAGAAAATCAATTAAACGATTTCAGGAAAGAAAAAAAGTTGATTAAGTGATCCGAGTGTTAGTGGGGTTCATGCTGTGGCTCTTATTTATTGTCATTTAACTGCTTTACAAGCTTCAGTTCTATATTTAAAATGACACCAATAAATTATTGGCTACATTATGCTCGGAGAGCTGAGCACAGAGTCTCATCAACATTTTATGAATGCTAAAAGCACTTCAGTAGTTCTGTGTGAGCGTGTGTGTCTAAGTGTGCTTGCACTCATGCGTGTCAGTGAGGGTCTGTCTGTCTGTGGGAGCATGACTCTGTGCCATTCATAGCTGAAGAAATTCCATCACTCCATGCATGCTGCACTTTCTCCCAGCCTCCAGTGAGTAAAAATAGCTCCTCGCCTTGCAAACACACACTAGAGCTGTGTTTAGAAGGCTGCAAATCTGGGGTCGTAAACTAGCAGGAAGTGGCTTCGTCGCCAGGCAGTAAATGGAGGCTCTTTTTTGGTAATTGTTGCCATTACTGGGGTGGACTGGGGGGAATTTCTTGGAGAAGCAGCTCAAAGAGACCCCTGTGAGGCTGAGAGTGACGTCCAGGGGCCTGGGACAGCCAAGAAGACCAAAGCACAAAGCATAGCACAAAGCTATTTGCTCAGTTCCTGGAAGTGCCGAGCCTGTAGGGAGTAGGTCACTGATCGCTGATGTTAAAGAGTAAACTTATGGAGGCCTGCACATCTCTCTCTCTTCCTCTCATCAAAAATAACTCATCTGTCTCCCTTTATTTCATTCCTTTTCTGACTGGTTTCTATTGTTGGGATTATATTTACTGGTACAAGTGAAGCTAACAATGTGTAAATCTTTCAGATTGATGTCTAAAGAGAAGGACACAGATGTTGTAAAATTGCTCCAAGCCTTAGTGGAATGCCTTAGAACTGAACTAGATTTTTAATCAAAGCACTTTTATGATCTACCATTTCTGTTTTTTTCTGTTTTTCTTTTCTGTCAATGAACTTTTGTATCACGGTTTAACTGGCGAGCTTCTCTTTCTCGGATTCATTTTCTCCTTAATGAATGGATAGCTTTTTTTTTCTAAATGTTAGTTATATAAAGGGCCTTAACAGGGAAATTCCACTGATTCTTTGAAACTGCAATTAAACCATTAACATAGTGACTCACAGTGGATATGAAATGCGCTGCTGTAGAGAAACATACCAAGTCAGAATTGTTCACAGTGGTGGTGATAGGAACCAGACATTTTGGGGAACTTTTTTGGGTCAATTACAATTACAATTATAAAGTATTTATGTGAGACAGTCATACAGGCCATAAGTTACTCAGGAGACCCTGGGCTACTCAAATATGCCATTGTTTGACATGTACATGCTAACAGAAATTTGATATCTTTATGAATTTGGGTCATTTCTGATCAGAAATTTACCTAGCTCCTGCAAAATTTTGTAACTTTTTGCTTATAGAGATCTTGAAAACAAGTTGCACCTCAGAAACCTTTTCATAAATTGTTAGTCTGGAGTGCAATAATTTTAATGGTGATTCATTCAGTTGGTTATTATGAGCAAAAATAAACAATTAGCATAAGGCGGACATGTTTTTATTGATTGTCTGTCTTCTTGGATTCGTGCTCAGTGCTAAAACTCTGATACACAGCAAGACTGGCTTTATTTTTAATTACAAATTGAGCTGCATATTTAATATCAGATATTTTTAATACTCGATTTCAATGTAAACTTAAAGACAGAGCTTAATTATATGGATTTTATAATAATATTGGTCATATTTATTGTTATTTATCTGTTAAAATGTGTTTTAGGGCCTGTTTGTGTGATTTTGAGGGAAAGTGCACTCATTGTGTTGAATGGGACAAGGCCATTTTATATCCTTTTTCGCGTTTTTTCATGTGACTGCACTTGAGCTGTTTTTGTAAATGTCTGATTAACAGCACTAAACTCAGAGTCTGAGTCAATCAGAGGACTATTTGAGACACGATGGAAAGTTTTGTACTGGGGTTTTAAATGGCCTTTTAAATGGAGGTAAACAGGATCTGAACCGTGGTTTTCTGAACTAGATTACTGACTGAATCATGGCTAAAATCTCCACAGAGTCACTCTGGAGACACAGGACAAGTCCTGACGGTCAACGTGATGCGTGATTTGCGTCGCTGTTTTTAAAACTCAGGAGACGCGTGTAGGGTTCACTGGTTGTTTAGGAAAGTAAGTAAAATGGCTATATTAGTTTTGTGGACTTTACTATCTCCGCAACTGTAAAGAAATCTGTGGGTAAGTTTCTCTACAATGCACTATTTCGCATCAAACCACTGTGAATGACTTTGTTTACATCTCAACCATTCAAGTATGCAAAAAAATTCCTTGTTAAAAGTTAAAAGCCTCTCTCTGTCACTGCTGCACTAACATCACTTCTCTTTCCCTTCCCCACATAAGGGCATTCACAGGGTTTCACCACTGCCAGCAGCAGAGCCACTTGAATACTTCCTGCCAGTAAAACTGTGAGGGCCAAAATCAGCAGCCCTTGGTTCTAAGCCTGAGGAGCATCCTAAGTTTGTTGCTGTAATTCTGAATGAATGAAGCCTATATACTGACTCCTAGGACTGCTTGGCAATTCCTTCAGTCAAAACCACATGCCAGTGAACAGTCAGCACTAAGAGACAATGGGCCAGTTTTAAATTTAGTCTTGGACCACATTCCAAAAGCAGTCAACAAGATTTAGGCTTTTCCGCTGAAAGCCATTTTAAGGCTTCATCAAAGCCTGGGAAAATGTCTCAATGACAGACACACATCTACAATCCAAAACCAAACCAACCAGATCTACAATACCAAAAGAAAATTTATATACAATGTAAAGAGCAGGCATTTTCAAATTATGTCAAAACTGAAAAATGACAAAAATGGAGATAGAAGGTTTTCTTCCGACAGCAGTGATGGTTGAGTGAGAAATGAATAAAAGAATTCTGGAAGCAAATTATTCTGAAACGGTGTTTAAGCAAGAAAAATGTTCATGGTTTAGTGCAAAACAGAGTGTTGCTAACTGTCACAAGTCAGTACCGAAACTGCTTTCAACACTTAAAACAATAAATAAATAATAAATAACAACACTGTATAATAACAAGTGACTTCAAACAACGGTAGCGTATGGTCCCTTAAACATCACAACAAAGGTTCAAAATCACTGACTGAGGCACAAAAGACTTAATTCACTCCTGACCTGCCAGTCTAATGGTACATTAAAACGTTAAGTACCGCTCACACAGACATGCACAGACACCTAGTCATACACTGACAATGTGAGGGATAAATAAAGGTCTTTAAGAGCTCGCCAGCATCTCTGAGCTGGTCCGACAGGTGGCAAGAGAAGGAGAGAAAGTAAGCGAGTGACAGAGACAGAAAGGGAGGGAAAACGAGAGCGAGAGAGAGAGAGAGAGAGAGAGAGAGAGAGAGAGAGAGAGAGGGAGAGAGAGAGAGATCATGCAAAATTCATAACACACAGCTGCAGTGCATGCTGGGAGAAGTGAATGCCAGGGCTCTCTCCAGAGGAATGGATGGAAGCTGAGCACGCCTTTGCCAAATGATAGAACACTTTCAATCTCCTTCAGTTCACACTTTACTGTGTTATGCCTTAGCACACCTCACTAATTCACATTTAACAACTGGACACCTGCCTGCTTTACAGTGATCAGAATCTAATAAACAGGAATTCTTGCAGAGGTCCTATGTGAATTATGCACATCACTAGCAGTTATGACCTCAGATATGGAAGCTCAGAACAGTGTACAAACAGTGCCCTCTAGTGGTGCCCTACATACATGATAACAAACAATCTGATGTGCGCCAGTGGCTTCCAGTTCCATCCTGTAGTCCACCTGCACCGCACAATCTTGTTTTTTTTGTGCTCTAACACCCCTGATCCAGATCAACAAAGAATAAGATCATTAGATGTTGATGCTTATGGCAAAATGCCAAACTGCAGTTCAAGAAGTCAGATTTGTAGATTCATAGCTTTATATGGCTGTGTTCAGTTTACAAGAAATGAAAGGCAGCGCCTGTAATAACTTCACTAGTGCAAATTGTACAACCCCCATTTCCAAAAAAGTTGGGACGATGATGTAAATAAAATGTAAATAAGATGACGCAAAATGTAAATAAAAACAAAATGCAATGATGTGCAAATCATTTTAACCCTATATTTAACAGTACAAAGACAACATATCCAACGTCGAAACTGAGAAATGTTATTGTTTTTTGAAAAATACATAAGCATTTAGGATTTGATGCCAACAACACATTCCAAAAAAGTTGGGAGAGGGACAACAAAAAGCTAGTAAAGTTGTGTAATGCTAAAAAAAAACACCTGGTGGTTGATTGGCAACAGATCAGTAACATTATGGGGATAAAAAAGCATCTCAGAGAGGCTGTTTCTTTCAGAAGTAAAGATGGGGAGGGGTTCACCACTCTGTAAAAGACTGCACGATCAAATAGTGCAATAATACATGATGAATATAACTAGATAAATAGATAAATCTAGATAAATTATAAACTCTAAAACGCAAAGAAGAAACAGGATGCAGAGACGCCGCCACCTTCTCTGGGCCTAAGCTCATTTAAAACGGACTGAGAGGAAGTAGAAAAGTGTCCTGTGGTCCGACGAATCAACATTTGAAAATCTTTTTGGAAATCATGTCCTCCAGGCTAAAGACACAGTTCAAAAGCCAGTATTCATGATGGTATAGGGGGCATTAGTGCACATGGCATGGCGACGTGCACATCTGTAAAGGCACCATTAAAGCTGAACCATATATACAGGTTTAGGCAACATATCATCATAAGCAGGAAATCATGAGCAGGCATTATTTCTGGGTCTACATGAGTCAGACAGTAATCAGATTTCTGCTTTGCAACCAGCCAATTGACTTACAGAAGAAAACGTGACGCAAACGTAATGTAAAACACAAATGTGGCTTTTTTTTTAATATCGCGCTGCTTTACCTGAAAATATGAACATACATCATCTAGAAGATGAAGAAATTTTAAATCCTTTATTTTGTGTTTGGTTTCAGCGCCGCTCCAAAAGTCTTTTGCTGCCATTTCGTGACATCCAGCGTCTGATCTTGCGCATGCGGACTGAGATATCTGATAGAAATCAGAGTAAGAGTTTACATGCACTGAGAAATCTGATTACTGAGCTAAAGTCCAGCTCTCTTTTATCAGACTTCTTAATCGGATTTCTAGATTGGAGTATGATGTTTACATGACCATTTGAATAATCGGGTAACTGGAGAAAACCGGTCATGATCAGATTATTGAGTGCACGTTTACGCACTCAATGACATTCAAAGCACTTCTGAAAAGAATTTAAAAGCCTCAGAATTGAAGTGGTTAATTAGGGGAAGTGGCAGGAAATGTAACTTACTAAACAAGTTTCGAATACCACGTTGGCATTCAGTCAAAATAACAATTACAGCATTACAATTTAACATAATAATTGACAACGTGGCTAATAGTTTTCACTAGGAAATGTGTGCAATCACAGGTATCTAGGAGCCATGGCCATGACAAACCATGCCAAGAACAGCAAGCCGGAAGGAGTGCAACAAAATGCTTTTGCAATGTATAGAAATTTAGCTGCACTAAGTTCTCACCTTTTCACTGCTGACTGTGACCCCCTCCTCTTCAGCTATAGTACTGCTGGAGGCCTCTTGGACTGTTCTCACAGAAGCGTGTGAAGGCCCCAATTTTGATCCCGTCATTTTTAACCTGGCTTTGTTTTTGTCTCTCCGGCTGTGGCTGATGAAGAACTGTCTTTGCAGTTCAAGACAAACGCCATAATCATCGTCGTCTACGTCATCACCATTGTTATCTTTGTCACACTGCCCCAAGGATGCCTCTCTATCTGAACCCTTGCTGTCGAAGAGTCTGCATTCAGACCTGATAAGCTCATTGTGCTGTGCTGATTTGCTCTTGTCTGAGAACACAATTGAGCTGGGCTTGTGCTTCACAACGCGGGGCAGTGGCTGTGGAGCCTCTACCTGGCTCACGTGCTGGTCAGGGCCTGGGCAAAGAGGCCGCGCTGCAGGACAGCAGCACGTCCAGGAACACTCTGTTAAGCCACACAGCTTGGCAGAGTGCCAGAATGGTCTAGAGCCCACAGTCTGGAAACCGAGTGGGACGGACAGCACCAAAGCTTCCTCGTCCAGGTGGCTATGGGGCCTGGATGCTGACCTCGACAGTGTCCGAGAGCTCTGGTGAAGTGGAAGGGTCACCACAGGACCACTAAAGCCATACATGACTATCAACGTTCAGTTCTCCCAGCAGACCTACACAAATCACATGTTCACAGAGCCTTTAGGAAATCAAGGACTCCTCCGTTCTTTGACAGTCGTGAACCTGAAAACAAAGATCATGAAGGTCCTGAACAAAATGCAAGGCCCACATTTCACTTCTTCACTTTCATAATTACATAATTAATGGTGGTAACTTAAAATTAATTGTAAAGATCAGTTACACTGAATTTACTGTCTGTTTGAACATGTATTAAAAACTCTATACATCCTAGTAATTCTGGCATCAGTACTTGCTCTCAAGCCTGGATATTAGAAGTCGTTTTGTTACCATCAGTTCTGTTAATTATGCAGTAAAATCTGTACCACAGTGACACCTGCATATCATACCTTGCATGATAATGCATTTGGATATTTTCAGCTGATAAAATGCAGTGGGCTCCAAAAGTCAGACTGAAAATGTTTCTATTTTGCATTACTTTCTTATTAATGTAAAGTTTTTCATTACAAATCACATTATTAGCATAACAAAAAAGTAGAAAAGTAGAAATTGTGAAATTTGAAAATGAATTTTACAATTTCCTAGAGTTTGGTGTCTCCCCTTTTTGCTATAATGGCAATGTACACTCAAGCTGGCAAGGACTCTCTAAATTTGTGCAAAAGCCTCTGATGAGTAGCAGCATCTGAAAAAAGCCTCTACACGGTCAATATCACAAACATGCATTAAATTTGAATAGTGACCTACAAATAGGGCAGAAACTTAAACGTTTCGTCTTCATTTTAATGTTTGCAATTTTTCTCTGTTCTAATATTTTCAAAATTCTAAAACTTTCTGTTGTTTATTTCCAGGTTTAAAGGAAAAAATCCAGCTTTTTTTAATGTAGTCTCAGACTTTTGGACCCCACTGTGCAAGAGTGGCAGTGTAGTCAGAAACTAATCATGGAATTAAAATTGTAATTGCGTGAGGCAACAAATCAGCTACAGTGTCTGGCTACACCAGCAAGATAGACCTACGAGTTATGGACTGCCAAGAGCATTTAATTATAGCACTGCTGCCCTGAATCTGCATCTTTCAACACCAAATAGAGAACTAAAAAACAAATGCAAGTGAAGTCAAACACAAATTTTAACCTCCATTCATAAAGCACATTCCAATAATGATGACTAAGAGAAGACCAGAACTGGTTGAGTTGAGAACTGCTTACCTGAATAATCAGAAGCCCAAGAAGATGATAAGAAGGTGCTCTGCGCTGCCTCAAAAATGGCACTTCCTCGCCAAAAACGTAGACCTTCAATGCTCCCGTTCGTGAGACCACCTGTGCTATGTGAGTTGCACAGGCACAAGCGTGTTTACATTTTGTACATTCAGCGGGGGAGGAGACTCTTTCATAAAGAGAGAGGCACAGGAAGGGTAGGGGAGGGAGGGTGAGAGAGGGGGGTAAAGAGAGAGAACGCATAAAGGGGGTGGGGGTTAGAGCACCTGGTGAGTTTCACACGTGGCTCTCTGGCTTTCCTGGCAGGCTCAGGATTGTAGATACAGTAGCTGTCAAAAGTTTGAACACAAGTATGTTTTTATCTGCTTTTGATAATTATTAAGACAGCTGGATCTAAAAACTTTTGCTTAAATGATGACATTTTTTCTAAGGCACAAACTGTGAGGATGTCGCCTTTGTGTGAATATATTTCCAAGAAACTGGTTTACTTATTTATTTTTTACATTACAAAGTTTTCAACAGTCAACAAGTGCTCTGCTTCATAACACTGGTTGAAAAAATGCCAAGAGTGCACTAAGTTGCATCAAAGCAAAGGAGGGGCTCTGAAATCTAAGAAGCTAAAAATTAAGTCTATGTTTCACATTACCAGGTTGAAGTGGCCCAAATCCGATTTTTTGCCCTAATGTGACTCAGATCTGATGTTTTCAGGGCTGTGTGGACACACAGATCTGATCTTTTCAAATCTGACCTGATCCACTTTCATATGTGGTCCTAGATCGGATACGTATCCGATTCGTGGCCATGCGACCTTAATGTGATGCTCAGACCGGAATTCATTTTTTCCACTGCGCGTGCGCCATCATTCAGCGTTACCATGGCAGCAGCGCTGAACAGAAGCTAAAGCCTGTAAACGGTGGAAGAGCAGCTCATCTCACCTTTTTTCTCCTTCGTGTCGCTCTAATAATGAAGCTGAGAGCTGATCAGAGTTAATTATCTTCTCAGCGAAGCTCGTTCTGCTCGTTAGTTTGTGCTGATGATGAACGTGATTCATTCACGTGACGTTACTGAGTAGGATGTGCTCATGAGGGTCATTTCGAACGCCGGTTCACATTAATGACAGATTTGAGTCACTTAGCTAAACGAGTGTGAACCATCGTGTCAGAGAGATCGGATTTGAGCGATGTAACGTGAAAACAGTTTTTGTAAGTACCTTTCTATAAAACCTATAAAACCTTTCTGTAAGTACAGTCTTATGCAAAGTTTGGGCACCCAGGTCAAAATCAAAAGTATTTCTGATTTTCTAAGAGGAAGCAAAGGTGCACATCCTCGACAGAGAACACATTTCTGCACATTTCAATGCACAATTACTGTTTATTTGCTGAACTTTAAGTATTGGGAAGAAAACTACATATAAAATATAACCTGTGCAAAAGTTCTGGTACATTTTCTTTTAATGTTTTTCAACATGTTAAACTCAGCAGAAGCAAATAAATAAATATAAATTGAGCACTAAAACTTACAGATATATACAGGTGTTTCTTACCCTAATTTCACTTTCAACAACACGTAATTTGACCAAGGGTCTTCAAACTTTAGTACACGACTTTAGGTCTGTCCAGTCTTTTGACTGATGCCATGAGTGTCCTAATAATAGAAAAATTAGGCAAGTAGTAAATAACCAGTATGCATTAATGTACTGTAATATATCTGGACTAGTATCTAAATGACACATGATTATATGAATAACACTGACAAATATAGACCTCCGCTGTGTTATTTCAGCCCCTGAGGGTCAGTTCACAGTGCACACTTACACAGACAGACACACACACACACACACACACACACACACACACACACACACACACACACACACACACACACAAAGAGTCATGTGGGCACACTCTACCTTTCAGAGAGAACATAGCGTAAAGGGTAAATATTTCCCTCAACATGACAAATTTTCCTCTGTGCCTGTACATGCCTGCACGCACATCACGTACACACACACACACACACACACACACTCACACACACACACACACACACACACACACACATTTAAGCCATGCACTCAAAAAGCAGTTGACAGACATTTATAAAAGAACAAAGTGAAAATGTGAAAAACATTGCCGCGGTCGCCCCATTCGGCTGTGCGGAGACGCCTGGTATTCTTGATGTTGCTATGTTGTGAGGATGAGAGTGAATGGAATGACGTTGGGCCATTGTGAGGGAAACCATCCCCTGTGTTGCTGTGTCCTGCATACAAACATGCAGACACAGCCAGGCTCCCCCACACACAGACGTCACTCACTCATTCATAAACAACCAAACTGGCTCTCCAAGGCAACCGCCCCTTCTCAAAGCAGGCACAGACGCTTTGACTTCAAAACCAGAACTCCATCAACATACTGAGCAACATGCTGCCAATCTTGTTTGTTTTTGGTCTTCGCTGCTGTCGGACCAAAACCCTTGCATCTTCAATTTTGTCATTTTTCAGTTTGTGACAAAATTTGAAAATATCTACTGTCCTTTATATTGTGTGTAAATTTCAAAATGAATGGGCCAAAGGAAACGGCCCAAACTTTACTTTGAAAAAAGTCTGGTTCCATTGACTCACATTAAAAGTAAAGCATGTTTTTTCCTTCTCCTGTAAAGTTACCATTTTGGAGATACGAGGTTTTGATCCGACAGCAGCGACGTAATGTTTTACTATTGATTGCCTACACAAGTATATAATCCAGTGTTTCTCAATCCAGTCGCAGTACTACTGCCCTGCAAGTTCAATATTTTTATTCAGTTTAACATTTAATATTTCGTAGTTTATTATTTCTCCTGCTCTGCTGTCATCTAGCTTCCTTTACTCAGTCAAGTAAACATATATGGGATTTGTACCTGATTTTTTTATGTATGTTTGAGAGTAATAACTTTCTACTCATGTCCACTTTACCCATTCATACTGTGCTACTAATGCTTTTTGTGTTGAATTTCATTCTGTTCTGTTAGTTCAGCACCTTGAATGCTTTACCGTTGCTCACAACTCTCAGTTCCCAGCTCCCAAAGATCCCAAAAAGGGAGACCAGCATCTAACAAACTTTAAGCTCCTTCAGATGTAATAGAAGTGCCACTGCAGTTCTTCAGGAAAAGTCACCAATTGTGTAGTTCAGGGGTGTCACTAGAGATTTATGGATAAGGGAGCTAAACCTTTACTGAGGGGGTCCAGGGGCATGCTCCCCCAGGAGGATGTTTTTAATGGCCCCACAAATGTCTGTTCATCATGAACATTTAGAGTAGAAACAGGTTCTTACTTTACCACTTAACTATTATATCTCTCCACCTACTCAGATGACAGAGGTATTAAAGTCAACTCCGTGCTCTCCTCTCTCTTAGATAAG